ATCATTTTTTTACGTTCTTTTATTGTAATTGAGATTTATTTTTAACCTTTATTTGAGTTTTATTTATTCATATATTAGAAAAATATTATAATTTATAATTTTAAATAAAATTAAAATATTATTTATTCCTATATTGGAAAAATAAAAACGCCTTTATGTACGGATACCTTTATTTTTGAATTTATTTTTAAATTCTTTGTTTAAAAAATAATAAATAAACAAATTTTTACATTAAAATATTTATCGGTTTTATAGATATTGACTATAAAAAAACTTCAAATTGACCAATTTTGAATTTCAGAATCCTATTTTAATAGAGAAGTTTTTATTCAGGTACCACAGCAGCTACAAGACATCCCAAAATTATTTTTTCTGTATTTCTTCTTCTTATATTGAAGATACATTGCTAAAAGTTTCAAGTGTTGAACTTACTGGACACCCGTTTAATTTTCGGTTTTTAAATAGACTTAACTTTAACGTTTTGAGGTTAGAGTCTTTTTTAGGGGGATCTAACTTCTATAATTTTAAATCTAATGTTCAAAACTTGTCAGAAATGATGCTTACCACTTTTATTTTAACAGTATAACATAATTTTCACATTTCCTTGCGTTTTCCACTTTTATTTGCTTCATTAATATTGAAATTTTTTCTTTAAAGTTTTTTTTTTTTTTTTTTTTTTTGTAATAAAAAATTGTTATTTTTGTAAAATAAATTTTTATTTTCTCGAAAGTTGAGGTAGACTTAGGGCCCTGCGAAGCTTCGAAATTTCAAACCGAATCGAATCAAAAAAATGATTGGAGATTCGATTCGAAAATTTTCAAAAATCGAATTCTTACTTATTTTGTTTTTGTTGTCGGTATTTTAGATATTCTGCGCTTTGGCGCTATCGAAATACAGTTACTTATCCTTAAATACCTTTTTAATCAGGTTAAACAGGGCAAGAAGTATCAATAAATATCATATTAGGATCCATATTAGGACCTCTCCTATTTTTATTATATATTAATGATCTACCAAAAGCTTCTAAATTATTGACAATTATGTTTGCTGATGATTCTAACCTATTTCTTTCTCATAATAACATTATTACACTTTTTAGCAATATGAACATTGAACTGGTCAAACTTTCCGAATGGTTTAGATTAAACAAATTCTCACTAAATATTGATAAAACTAAATGGATTCTTTTTCATCCTTATGGTAAAAAGCACTAGCTGCCTAGCAACTTTCTTTTTCTATTTATTGATAACATAGTTATTAATAGAGTTTTAGTGACAAGATTTTTAGGTGTATTTATCGATGAAAATCTTACATGGAAATGTCACATTGCTAACTTGTGCAGTAAAATTTCAAAAAGTATAGGCATATTATACAAAATAAAAAAAGTTCTTTATAAAAATACCTTAATTCAATTATATTATTCGTTAATTCATTGCCATATCAACTATGCAAACATTGCTTGGGGTAGCACTTATAAAAATAAACTTAAACCTCTCTATCGGCAACAGTAGCATGTAGAGCGCCTTATAAATTTTAAGGATCGTTTTGCTCACGCCAAGCCTCTTTTTATAATATGAAAGCACTCAATATATTTGAGTTGAATGATTTTAATATTCTTTTTTTTTATCTATAAATGCAAGACCCACCTATCACCCGTTTCTTTTCGTAACTTGTATTTACAAAGAGATAGAAATAAATATATTCTAAGGAACAATAACTTAATTCGACAACCATTTTCCCAAACTAATTTTGGAAAATTTTTTATTTCATTTCGCGGACCATTATAATGGAATAGTATAGTTTTAAATACTTCTAAAGATTTTTCTCAAGAATGTAATTTTGATTCTTTTAAACAAAATCTTAAAAAACTCATTTTTTCAACTGAAAATATACTAATCTACTTTTAAATTTTTAAAAATCCCTTATCTATATTAAATTTTTAAAAATCCCTTATCTATATTAGTATATGTATATATTATTTCGAACTTTATATACTTATGTTATTAAATTTAATTTTGTAATAAAAAGAAAGGTCTTCTTTGAGTATCTTTGAGCCCAATTTTGGCAAACCTGACATTGAACCTGTTCTCTTGATCAGCTGTTGGAAAATGATTCAAAACAATAGATGCACAGATACTCTTCATCTTCAGATGAATTTAAGACTATAGAAGGTTTTTTCGTAGCAAGATTTGATTTTATTAATTCTTTTTTACTTCCATATGTAAATTTTTTTTTATTAGTTTTCTTCTTTTTATAGTTAGCAAGCCATCCTTTGACAGGCGTGTTAGTAAGAATCATAGTTGACCGCTTTTTCCTACCTCTTTTTGATGCTAACCTCGGGCCTGCTTTAGGCAGAGGCCTAATACTCTTAGGTGGTATGATTGAATTGTTAAGACCTAATGTTGTGATTGGGTTCTGATTAGAGGTTTTATTTGATACAACTGGATCTTCTATTGTTATGTCTACCTGATTATCTGGTATCTGAATAGATTCTTTAAATCTTTTATTTGATGGTTCTGGTTGCATTGAATAAGATTCACAGTCTTTTTTATTTGAATCAGCCTGTGAACAAGGTGGGTCAGGGCGATCAGTTACATAGTTAGGACAGTAATCATTTTCAGTAAACACATTAGGATTTAACGGGTAAATACCTGTTGCAGAAAAACCACTTAAAATATTGTGGGGAGATACAGCCTTTGGAAAAACAATGTTTACTATTTTTGGAATATCATATATTGTAACAGTTTTTCCAGGATTCATTACTAACCATGATGTCATAGCAGTATTTATGTAGTTTTTGAAAGGACCATAAACTGCCTTATCCAAGGGCTGCAACTTATGTGTGCAATGTGGTGGGAAGGTAAGCATTACTATTCCATTATTTTTTGCCAAATCTAATTCTTCAATACTAAGATGAGTTTCGTGATTGTCAAGCAACAATAAACAAGGCTTTTCTTTAGTACATTTTGTATTGCCTACAAAATGTTTTAGATATTTTACAAAGTTTTCTTCTTTCACCCAACCACTTGGATTTGCATCTCCTGCACTTCCTGTTGGTGCACTGATTAGGAAATGATCTTTAAAGTTTTTACGAGGAAAAATAAAAAAGGGTGGAATATTATTTCCAATAGCATTTATTGTGCATGCTAATGTTACAAGAGTTCCTCTTTCAGCTGACGCGATGGCTCCTACTTGTTTTAATCCTTTTTTCGCAATAACCTTTTTAGGTTGCTGTACAGTAGTTACAGCAGTTTCATCCATGTTCCAAATGTCATTTGGTGAGAACGAGTACTTTTGCATACAGTGCTGCAAATTGCTAAAAAATGATGCAACATTCTGCTTATTGAAACTTGTCGCTCGACTTCAACTAGTAGCTTCAGGTTGCCTAATGGAAATATTTAAATGGCGCTTTATAAATCCTGTAAACCAATCCTTACCAGCTTGTTCCTTTACAACCCAAGAATTGGGAACCTTCATATTATTTTTAATTGCTAGCTGGAAAGCAAGCTTTTTTACTTCGGTAGGAGTTAAACCAAAATATATATCTGCTGCTCGCAACAGGTAGGTGACCAGTTCTTTTTCTACTTTTTCTGGCAATATCAATCGACTTTTGTATCCTGTAACATTCAGGGAGGTGGGGTTTTCAATTTTGTCAATTAGACCTGCTATAGAACCATGTGATGGGTTAGTAATAACAATTTTTTTACAATAACGTGCTAGTGTTCTGTAATTAATGCCATGGTTTTTTGCTGCTGATCTAATAGAAATGTTATTAATCTTTACATCTTTAACAGCACACATTATGACATCTCCAGAAGTATAACCTCTATTAGTTTTTCTTTTAAATTTTCGTACCATGTTTATAACTAAGCAAATAAAAATATTTGCAAATAATGTAAACAAAACATTAATATATATATATATATATATATATATATATATATATATATATATATATATATATATATATATATATATATATATATATATATATATATATATATATATACATATATAAACCCACTAAATATAAACAATGCACAAACAAAACAACAGACAGTTTTACAAACTAAACAACAGCTAGTTGTTTAGTTTGTAAGCAAAACAATAAACAGTTGAACTTCTGCAATCCTTTTTCTATAATTGTACTAAACATTGGATCGGAATCTAAAGTTATGCACGTTGAAATAAAAATAATTTAGATTACAGATATTTAGTTAAACAAATATAACACTTTGACTTTAGATTTTTAAATAATATCTTAAACATTAAAATATTCCTCAATAATGCGGAAAATAAACAAAGCCACTAAATATTCTGCAAGCGGCGTTTAATTTGCAGCGCATAGAGTCGAGGCAAGTGTGACAACCATCCCCATATATTTTGTGACAAGCAACCCCTTCTGAGTAAGTTGCTGGACACCTGTACATTTACCTAAAAGCGTTAGAACTTTATGATAATTTTTTACGAATTAAGTTACTCAAATGAATAAAGTACTTTATAAATCTACATTCAAAACACAATAAAATAATTTTCGTTTGGTAAAAGAAAATTTCTGAGTAGGCGAAATTTTACTTTTTCATATCAAAAACCTATAAAAACGAATAACTTTTCTTCTGCACGCTAAAAAAAGATAAAAATTACTGTAAAAATTTTTTTATATAACATTTCCATTGTATAATTTGAAATTTCTATATCTTCTTTACATTTCCTGTAATAAACTTTGTGACAACCAACCCGCGTGACAACCAACCCTGCTCACCTCTACTTAACGATATCTTGACTTGTTACCTTTTATTTTTAATTTTTTATATTATTTGTATCTGTATCATAAATATTGTAATAAAAAAAAAATAATAATAAATAAATAAAATAAAATAAAGAGATTATACAATTTTTTAAATTTAATTTCATTTTGAAATATGTATTATTAAATAAAAAATGCTTAAATTTAGATTCAAAATGTCGCACAGTGGGTCAGAAGTCGGCAAAACCTAAAACATAAAGTTTAAAAAAACTTTTTTTTTTTTTTTTTTAATATAGGTTAAATAAGTCTAATATACGAAAATAATATTATTTATGATAATAGATTATGATTAAATAGAAATACTTGGCCGCAAACTACTCCAGTTCCGTCAGCAAGCAATGTTGAAAATTATTCATTATTTTTTCTAAATATTGCCGTTTATTTTTACATGCTTCCTGCTTTAAAAGGTAGGAAAATTTTATGCTATATTTTTTGAATTTGTATATAGATGTATAATTTATCCTCAAAATATCATTATAAAAAATATAACAGTATTTTTTTATGCCTAACTGTACAGGCTGTTTTTTAAATTATGTAAATTCTTTTTTTCTTTGTTGGTGTTTAAATAGTAGTGTATTAAGCAATATTAAAGATATGTTGCAGCTGTTTTCATAAGTACTTGATGTGTACTACTATTATCAAGCAAAATATTTTGCCAGTTTTTGCCAGTCTAGAGTGAGCAATGATTTTAATATGTAATAATTGTAATTTTTATAAACCGGCCGTGTTGTTATCTCATTAATATAATTTTTATAGTCCGGACGGACTATACTATTTATTGGCGAATATTTAAGAGAACATAATAATAAGAAAGAAAATATAATAATAATAATAATAAAAAAATATTATTAGACAATATATTCCTTTTGTATATATCTGTTCATATTGGGCATAAAATATTACAGTAGGTTGCCTAGTTTTTAACAAACACATGCTCATTATTTTGTTTGTACATTTAATCTACTCTCTCTCTCTTTCCCTCTCTCACTCTCTCTCTCTCTCTCTCTCTCTCTCTCTCTCTCTCTCTCTCTATATATATATATATATATATATATATATATATATATATATATATATATATATATATATATATATATATATATATATATATATATATATATATATATATATATATATATATATATATATATATATATATATATATATATATATATATATATATATATATATGTATATATATATATGTGTATATATATATATATATATATATATATATATATATATATATATATATATATATATATATGTATATATATATATATACATATATATATATATATATATATATATATATATATATATATATATATATATATATATATATATATATACATATATATACACACATTATTATATATATTATTATATTATCTATTCTTATATTAATAGATGTTCTTTTTAATTTTAGATGAATAGAAGACAGTTATACATTTATATTAAAGAAACTGACTGTAATAAAAATTATTTACTTTGTAAACTGGTTGAGTATGTGGAAAATGTTTCACCAAACACATTTTTAGATATAAAGCCAACATTATCATCATTTGTTCATCAATACAAACGTAAAATGACAACTGTAAAAAGGGAGTATACTCAATTTGAAAATAAATATGCTACTTGGCTAGATGCTATTATTTCTTTTAAACTAATAAAAGCTGTTACTCCTGAAAAAAATTATGGTGGAAGACCAGAAACACCTTTTAACAAATCTTCAATACGATCAAAGGACAGAAAAGTTTCTAACATTATACATATGTACTCTACTAACGAAATATTATATGCAGCTTCAAGGTCATTAAAAAAAGATGGGAGAAATGCAGAGGCTATCAGTGTCAAAAGTATTTTATATACCCCTCAAGCAAGTCTTTTTTCTGACAAAGCACTAGCACTCTTCTTAGATGCTAATCTGTCAAAGGCAACATACCAACTTCTCCGCAACAATGCTTTGGATCTAGATTCAGCTATTTATCCAACATACCATGATTTAAAGAGTGCAAAAGACAGATGTTATCCAGATGATGTTATAATCTCTGATTACTCAGCAGAAATTCCGTTGCAGTCTCTACTTCTGCACACATCACAACGACTTTGTGATTCTCAGATAGAAGTGCTGACTGCTGATTCCCTTAAAATCTTTAAAAAACTTACACTTAGATCAAAAATAGGATTTGATGGTGCAACTGGTCTGTCAGTGTATAAGCAGTCGAGTACAGATGAGGCTGGCAGGAGTTTAGCCAATGAAGTATCTTTATTTATTACATGCTTAGTGCCATTAGACTTATACTTTTTTACAGATGCCAAGCGGCAGCTTGTTTGGAGGAATCATAAACCTTCGTCGCCTATTTTTTGCAGACCTGTCCGGTTTAAATACATCAAAGAAACAAAGGAAGTAGTCTTAGAAGAATTTGAGTCAATTAAAAATGACATCAAAACACTCCCAGTTTCTAAAGTGATAATTGCTGGACAGACATTAGATGTACATCATATCATAGATATCACTATGATTGATGGGAAAGTGCAGACCATAATTTCCACTGCTACAACTTCCACTCAGTGTTGCAGTGTTTGTGGCATCTCACCAAAGTTCATGAATGATCTGCCAATAGTTTTAAAAAAAGAAGTGAAAAATGAGAATCTGCAGAATGGCATCTCAACACTTCATGCCTGGATTAGGCTTTTTGAGTGTTTACTACATATTGCATACAAGATTCCAATTCAGAAATGGCAAGCAAGAGGTGTAGATGATAAAGCTATAGTTGCCACCAGAAAGAAGAAAATACAAGTTGCATTCCAAAATGAGATGGGTCTTGTTGTAGACCAGCCATGCTCTGGGGGTGCTGGTACCTCAAATGATGGGAACACTGCACGTCGTGTGTTTCAGCAGGCTGAAAAGTCTGCTGAAATAATGGGTGTTAGTCCTGTTCTTATCAGAAGACTACATTCAATATTATCAGTGATGTCTTCTGGATTTGATATTGAACCTAACAAATTTAAAAAATATTGTTTTGAGACTGCAGAGTTGTATACACAGTTATATATATGGTATCCTATGTCACAGACTTTACATAAAGTTCTGATTCATGGACATCTAGTGATAGAATTTTTTAGCTTGCCTCTTGGCATGATGTCTGAGGAAGCACAAGAAGCCTCAAATAAGTACTTTAAAAAATACAGGGAGTGCTTCTCTAGAAAATGTGACAGAAAAAAAACCAATTTGGACGTGTTTCATCGCCTTTTATGCCATTCAGATCCTTTTATTGCTCAATACCGTAAAACAAACAGTACAAGAAAAGCTATTCTGCCTGCCGATGCAATTGCTCTGTTGAAAGAGCCCAGCATCATTTGCTCTTTGTGAGTTTTTGATGATATCTTAGAAATAAATGTTTTTGCCAATGAATGTACGTGTTTAGCAATAAATGTTTAATTATATATAAGATTTTTTTTTTCAATATAAATAAAAACAACATCTTAATATATTAATATAGTTTTTAATCATAGTTTTATTTGTTTTAATTTATTATGAGGTTTTGGCTAGAAATTAACTATTTTAACCCATTATAGTTTTTTATTATTGTGCATAGTAATAATAAAGGTTCTACCATCTAGTGTTGCTAGATTATTGCAAGAATCTAGAATAGTATACTTTTTATACTATTCTAGATTCAAAAAAAACTTTAAATAATATTTTTGTTTCTAATTTTATTGCCGAATTAAGGGAGGGGGGCTATGGCCCCGGGGCCTTAAATTTTAGGGGCCCCGTAACATTCAAGAAGACCTTCCCCTTACAAATCGTGCTATATAAATTTGGCTAATAAAGTACTGCAGAAAAAAATAGCCCCGGGTCCCGAATGTTCTTAATCCGCCTCTGGCTAGTTTACGGAATTTTTTTTATAGGCTAAAAAATTGGAATTTTTCAAAATTATGCAATAAAAATCCAAGTTTTTATAAAACTAAAATTTTTTTTTGCATAATTTGTTTTTCAATATAATACACCGTTTGTAATAAAAAAAAAAAAAAATTAAAATATATTTTAGAGGTTTTGGCTGAAAATTGGCACCTCTGACCCACTGTGTGTCGGTTCGAAACGTGATTTGAATCGCGAATCAAGACCCGCTTTGATTCGAGATTCGATTCGAAACAAAAACTCGCGATTCGCAGGGCCCTAGGTAGACTACTAGCATTTTTAAGTATTTAAGGTAATTAGTTTTTCATTTATATCGACTTTTTTGAAAAAGACAATAAATTGCTCGAAAAAGCAAAGACAATAATTTTTCAAATTGAAATAATTTTAAGATACTTCCAGATAATGAGTTGATATTTTTGAGAAATTCTTTTTTTCATAAAAGCTACAAAATATGTAACTTTCAAAAAAAACCTGAGATGGTCAATATGCAAACTTTCAAAAAATTGGCTTATCTTACATGGAATGATTGAAATTACTCTACTATAAATAGTAGTAATATAAAAAAAAAGTTTTAATTACTATTTTATTTAACTATAGTATTGAATATTATAGTTAAATTTAATAATAAAATTGAACATTTATAAAATTGAACATTTTGAAAATAATACCTGTGCCGTAAAATTTGAGACTTCAATAAAAACTTGAACAAACGTGATTTATAAAAAATATATAAAAAAACTTTTTAAAAACAACATTTTAAAAATGGACTAAAAATTAAAAATAAACTATTTCATGGGACCCAAGGACTTTGTGTATGAACACAACCTGAAATACCCATTAAAGTCAATAACTGAAAACGTTGGGCAACTAAGTACAACTCGTTTCTAATGAAATTCAATAAAATAGGCTGTTAGCCTATTGGAGCCCAACATTTCCAGTCATTGACTTTAATAGATATTTCAGGTTATGTACGTACACAAAGTCCTTGGGTCCCATATAATAGTTTATTTTTTACTTTTTAATCCATTTTAAAAATGTTGTTTTTAAGTATATATATATATATATATATATATATATATATATATATATATATATATATATATATATATATATATATATATATATTTTTTTTTTTTTTTTTTTTTTTTTTTTTTTTTTGTTTACTTTTTAGTCTGGGGCCAATGCTATAAATAATTCGAAGTTTTTTTCGAGAAAAAAAATCTATCTTAAAAACGCAATATTTTGTGTAAATTATTTTTACGTAAAAAAAGACGTAAACACGAAGAATTTATTCGGCCAATGCTATAGAGTATAAAACGTATACGTCACTTAAATTCACAATTTTAATTTATCCGTAAACGTCATTGATAACAACAATTTTTTTTAATTACTATTATGCGTTGCCTATTTAATAATTTTTATTAGTTATTAAGTAGGCTGTGCTGTCTATTCCTCTTCTATAAATTTTTGTACATTCTACTATTTGGTGTTTAAAAGAACTGTGTAAAATTATAATATGAACATAGATTTAGTTTTTTCGGATGAAGACTTAGATTTGGAAATTGCAGAAAATGAGCTTCGCCACCGATTGCCTCGAGAGGTTGGTGTTTAAAACATTACTTAAAATTGACAAATTTCGATGTTTTTTTAACTAAATTAGAAAACATACTAAATGTACGCAGAAATAATATTTTTGTTTTGTTTTTCTATTCCATTTTAGTTTATTGGTCGCTTTTTTAACGAAGATGTTTCTGACAACGTTTTTCGAGAGCAGTATCGAGTCCCAAGAGCTGTATTAGATTTTTTAGAAACTAGGCTTAAAGATGATTTGCAACATTACACTAAGCGAAATAAAAGTATTTCAGTACGTTTCCAGATAATGGTATTTCTTCATTTTATCGGCACAAATGTTTTTTTTCATGTTCTCAGAGACTGTCATGGAATCTCTACCAACACAGTTTATCGTATTATACACAGTGTAGGAGAAGCTATTTTCAATGTAATGTGTATTAAGTTAATAAAACAAGTGAAATTTATACGTTGTCATATAAAGTTTCTTATTACTTTTATTTTGGTAGGTAAATTATAAACTAAGTTGAGTAAAGGTAAAAGTTGATATCTTTTCAATTTAGATTCGACAAGAGATCATAAAATGGCCCAATGATTGCTCCACTCTTCCACAAAAGTTTATGGAAATTGGAGGTTTTCCTAGCGTATGTGGTGTCCTGGATGGGTCTCATATACTCATTTCTAACCCTCCTAACGCAGACGAAGATTCTCTAATCAATCGCCATCATGTCCATAGCATAAATGCAATGGCTGTATGTGGACCCGACACATCCATATTTTATGCATCAACCAACAGTCCAGGAAGGTGGCATGATGCACACGTAAGTCTTTTAATAAATTATATTTTACATCTGCTAGTGCACTAATGCTGGCTATTCAACTAGTACGTACTTCGGTATATTCATATTTAAACATACTATTCGAACTATTATTGCTAATTAAGACTAATAAAACTAAGACTGATATGTATTTTAATGTAACTTAGAGTAAATTTAAATATTGTGATTTTACCACTATTAGGTTCTAAGAAATTGTAACCTATGGAACAAGTTTGAAATTGGAGAGCTTCCATTTAATGGAGCTGTAATTTTGGCTGACTCTGCCTACCCATGCCGAGAATGGTTAATTCCACCTTTTCCTAGTGATCTAGGCAGAGCTCAAAAACGTTTCAACATAGCACAGAGAAAAACTAGAAACATAATCGAGCGGTGTTTTGGCATTATAAAAAACAGGTTTTATGCTTTGAAAACGGGAATTCGTTTGCACAAGGTCGAAGATGCCTCTAAGCTCATCATGTGTGGATTTGTTATCCATAACTTGTGTATTCGACATGGAGACAACGGTAATGACTTTGAAGAACGCATAGAAGAACAAGTTGATGAAAATATATTTCAAGAAAATCAGAATGATATCGCTTTGAATAGACGATTACAGCTACTTTACAACTTTACTTAAAAATATTATTTAAAAAAACTTTTGTCAAATGCAAGATATTTTATAAAAATTAGATCATAAAAGCATTTTATAATTGTTTTTTAGTATTTGTATTTTGTTTTTTTATAGAACAAGCTTAAAAAAATAATAGGTTTGTTAGTTTTTGTTGTTAAGAGCAATTCTTATTAAGAGTATTTTAAAAAGATAAAAATTGCTTAACAGCATAATATTAAGATAAACGATCGAATTAATATTAAACTAAAATATAAATTAAATTTAAAATATGAAAGATATTGTACCAAATATCTGGTATATACATACAATATTCTTAAGTTGAGTGCTGAGTACTCGAAAAAAAGGGTTGAGAAAGGGAATTTAGAGGTAAAGGTAAAAGTTATTAGAACTACTTTCTTTAAATTATAAAATCGTTTACTAGCCAATGCGATACCATAAATTGAACTCGCTATTTAAATGCGGTAGTGGTATAGTTGTAATGCTTGTATCTATTTCACATCGCAACAGCATTGGTTTTAATGCAGTTTTTACAGAATTTATTACTGTAAGGCAATGGTGATAAATAATAAATACAATAACAATTGTTGGAGTTATTTTTTTATTTTCTTTAAAAAAATCTACAGTTAAATACCTTCAAAGTAAATGTTTAAATATAGTTATACAATATCTTTCGAAAATTAACATAAAATTACGATATAGCTCTTCCCTTAATGCTCTAGAATTTCCTCCTAAAACAACAAAAATAATTTATAAAATTTATTAATTATAAAGTTTGATACTAAATACTACAATAAATTAATTTTAAAATACCGTTTCTATATTTTTAAAATGTTGCTGGTTTAAAGGTTGCAATTTGTCATTCATTAGCTTTGTTGCTGTTGTGTAATATATTGTTAAAGCTTTTTCTTTTCGAATTTGCTGTTGTCTGTGAGCAACGTCCAATTTCAAAAGTTTAATTCTTAATTCTTGTTCCTTTTCTAATCTTTCTTTTTCTAACCCTAAAACACTAACTTTCAATTTTTTGAAATTTCCATCTACCAAGAGACTTTCTCGAGCTTGTTTTCTTTTTAAATTTTTTAATGTCGCTATTGATGGTTTATTTTGAGTTGAATCTAAAAATTGAATTATAGGTGTCAAAACCAGATCAGTTAATTTAAATAATAAAAAAGATGGTTTAGATTCCTTTAAAAATAAGCAGTTTTTGATGTGATGTGAAATAATTTGGCACAAATTGTGAAAAAAAAAACAACTAGAAATTGTATTACCTTGAAGCATTGGACGACTATCACCAACAAGAGTGGTATTGTCTAAATGAGGGGAGGAGGAGGACATACGATCAAATCGTGTATCTAAAATAAATAATTAATTTGTATATATATATATATATATATATATATATATATATATATATATATATATATAATATATATATATATATAAAATCTTATAACACCACTAGTCAACCAAAAAATAAAGATATACCAGACAAAGAAGCTGTATCAGAAGA